AGAATGGCAAAAAAACTTAGTTCACACAATACGACAATCATTTTACATATTCATTTATACTTTCACTCTGAAAATTAAACGACGACGGAGAGTGGAAAGGAAGAAAAAAGAACCTTATGCATTTTAAACGCGAAAATTTGACGTCAAAATAAACGTTTTTTTTTTCCCCAACGTCAACGCTTATGTCATTAAGCCCGGTTTTGTCAGAGAGTTTTTATGCAATTAAATGATTAATGTGAGTTGCAGAATAAAACAATTATTACCCTTATGATAAAAGAGATCTAGAGGAAAAAAAAAGTGCCGAAACTAAATTGAAATCAATTTTATGAAATTTTGAAACTATATAAGGAAACCAGGCACAATTTTACTCTATTGTATTTTTCTATATATCATTTTCCAACGCAATGATAAGGATTTGCAGCAGCTCAATACATTTATTAAAAGAAAAATAAATTCCACATGCCACTCCCCCAAAGAATTAGACAACTTTGAAATCTAACACATGTTGATAAACACAATTAAATAGTTTTGACATTGGAATCGATATGCCCCAAATACCCCGATACTGATACGGATTTATAAATAAGAATACGTCAGATTGAACAATCCCCTATAGTAAATACCTTTATATTTTCATTCAGTATAAGTCTTTTCTCATTTGTTTTCTGTTATATAAATCTCAAGTGTCCTCTAATTTATGTTATCTTTGTTTTTTTTAAATAATATGACTTTATAGTTATATTTGTGACTATATAGCTATATACGAGGGGTGTTAGAAAAGTTCGCGGACACATTGAGTTATAGAAAATCTATTGTGTACTGTGAAGTATTACCTATGTCTGAATGAATTCCTACATTTTGTTTATTGGTATGTAAAAAATCAGGTCCATATAATAAAATCTTAAAATTTTACAACTATCTTTACTATGGGGTTATGGGATTCACGGAGCAATCACTTGACGTAAGCGAGGTGACAACCAGACTTCAACCCTTTAAGCTTTTTCGCAGTTCTATAAATCTTTCATTTCTCCAGATTTTTCTTATCTTTTTTCTTCTTTAAAATTGAATATCTATATCAAGACATATTACTTTTCTACTATAATGTCTTTTGTACTGTTTTGGATAGTATTGAGATCTTAAAAGATAAAAAAAAGTCTATGCAGTCAATCGATCAGGTATGGAAACTATGCAAAACCATATAGGCGCAACGCAACGTCCATGCGATAGGGGGTATTGAAGTATCGATGGAGTTAATAATTCAAAATGTTACTCCTTCCATTCTTATGAAGCTATAACCATTTGAAAACTTGTTATTTGTATGTGTAGGATATTCCCGGCAGCATCTTGAACATTTTAATCTAATTTTAGACATTTTCCTGTCTGCATACATAATTTTTACGTAGTGCAGTGCTCCATGACGCTCAATGACGTTCCGATTTTTGGCTATGTTTTTACGCGTTAATCATTTATGAACGGCTATAAAACAGTCATATACCCTCCAATTTAGTTCAAAATTTCTCCCAGTGACGTTTCCTGCATACTTTAGCGGCAGGTAAAGTATCATAAATCTCTTGGCACCACAACTGTGCAATTTTTAATTTTAATAAAGAGTCTTTGTGATATAAACGTGCCAAAATGTAGCATGCTCCGTGAAGCAAGATTTATCAAAATAAAAATGTCGTATATTTTTCAATAATCACCGGAGAGCACCAAATTCTTGTATATTTATTGGAAAAAAGCTCAAGATTATATCTGGAAAGTTTGACCGGTTTCGTGGAAATAGCGCGCTCACAATAGAACTTGTCCGCGAACTTTTCTAACACCCCTCGTATAACTACAATTTACTATACTTAACAAGAGTATAGTGTAGTTAACGATAGTTAATGAAAGTGTCAAAGTTTTTTGAAAGAATCAAAGTTTCCGCCAAAGTTTTTCAAAGTGTCAAAGTTCTCGATAAAGTCTTTCAAAGTATCAAAGTTTTGGCCAAAGTTTTTCAAAGTGTCAAAGTTTTCGCGTAAGTTTTTCAAAGTGTCAAAGTTTTGGCCAAAGTTTTTCAAAGCTTCAAAATTTTTTATCTTTTTTTTTTAAATAGCAAAGTTAACACCAAATTCTATCAACGTTTTAAATTTTTGAAAGTGTCAAAGTTTTCGATAAACTTTTTCAAAGTATCAAAATTCTCCATAAAGTTTTTCAAAGTGTCAAAGTTTTCGCCAAAGTTTTTCAAAGTGTCAAAGTTTTCGCAATTCTTTTTCAAAGCATCAAAGTGTCAAAGTTTTTGATAAAGTTTTTCAAAGTGTCAAAGTTATAACAATAGTAAATCAAAGTTTTCAAAGTGTCACAGTTATAAGTATAGTTTACTATACTTAACTATAGTATTTTTTGTAAGGGTATGGAAAAAAATGCAAGATAAAAACGATCATTAATAAGCAAACTACTGTTAGCTATTTTAATTGTTTGTATCTATAGTTTTTAAATATGTTCTCAAAAGTGTAAAATTTGCAGATTTAATTCACCGATACGTTTTGTAACGGTGCATGATGTGTACATGTAAAATGCTCTCAGGATTTGATCAAATCACATATAGGAAAAAAGTCTTACTAGTGCCATGCTTGCAGCTCATCAGGATCTCTGCATCCTCTTCAGTAAAAACACATTTTTCTTTCAATATCATTGGCTTTGGAGATCTGTTGGTATTTTCTATCATGAAATATATTGGTTCTTGAAGTTGTGATATGCATCGATCATCTTCTAATATACTTCCAAAATCAAGTCGAACAATGTGCACGAAAAACTCATTGCAAGAGAACTTTTGTGCAATATACTTCCTGGCTTCTTTCACATTTGTACACACCTAAAATAAAAACAAATTTATTGAACAGGATTTTTTTTAAAAAAGGGATTGAAAAAAAAGTATACAGAATAGTCGGGATAATATAATTTTTTTGAAGAACGTAAGAATGTTGAATTCAAAATATAACTTTCAAGGCACATGTTAGCAAGAGATCTAGAGGTTTGTTGCGACCACTATTGAAATAACGACAACTATTGAATTAATTATTTCAATAGTGGTTGAGGGTTCAGTTGGAAATATAGTAAACAACTTAGTGAAGGTTTGGTGCCTCTAGAGTCTACGGTTTCGGAGGAGTAGCGATAACAATTTGTTTCGCATAAGGGGCAATAACTTTCAAAAGGGTTCATCTTTGGGAGAAGAATGGTATATTTGAAATAGTTTTAAGAGTACATATTAATGATGCAAGGATTAATGCATATTAATGATGCAAAGACATAAAGGATATGTTGATAAACAAAAGAGATATAAAAAGGAGCTTAATGTTTCAGTTTTGGAACGACCTCGACCTTGATCTTTGACCTTAACATAAATTTCAAGGTCAAAGGTTAATGAATCTAAAGCAGTTGGTCCCGCCTTGTTTTTAAAATTTTTAATTATTCATAAAATTCATAAAGTTTCAGGGGCAATAACTCGTTGAAGGGGTCAAAAAATACCTTCGCAATGAATAGATTGAAGGATCTCCTAAATTAGTTGAAGACATTGGTGAAGGTTTCATACCTCTACGGTTTACGGTTTCGAAGGAGTAGGGATAACAAGAAATTCTTGCAAAAGGGGTAGTAACTCTTGAAGGGATCAAGGTTCCTTAACGCAGGTTCAACTGCAAAAATCTTCTATCGAGTACATGCTTATGGATCATATATCTTTTCTATCTATCTTAAAACTCAAAAACATGCGACAGGAACGTAATAAAAAAACTTGGAGACTTATTGTTCACGGAACAATGATAGGTCTTTCCACCTTCTTTGAATTTGAATTTCATTTAATATTTATCTCTCTAAAATTAAATTTCATCAAAAAGGAAACTAGGAATGGCTTACAAGAAAAAAAATAAATTAAAAATTTGGAGGTGACCTTGACCTCAGACATCAAACTATATTCAAGGTCAAAGGTCAATGGTCACATTGTTATTAACCTTATGCTTCTATGACGTATAGTTTTAAAGTTATAAGGTTTAATGATAAGCATAAAAGCATTAATTTCTAATTTTTGGCGCTTACAATAATTTAAAGTTAAAGTCAATGAAATTTATGCAGTTATTCCCATGTCTCTACGACTTCTTTTTTGGAAATTTTAATTATTTGTAAAGTTTCAGGGGCATAACTCATTGAAGGGGTCCATGAATGCTTTTGCAATCAATAGATTGAAGAGTTCTCTTAATTAGACGAAGATATTTGGTGACGGTTTCATACTTCTACGGTTTACGGTTTCAGAGAAGAAGTGATAAAAAGCATATCTCGCGAAAGGAGCAATAAGTTCGAAAGTTCATTTACTCAGGGTGAACTGCAATAATCTTTTATGGAGTACATCCTTATGGACTTTAAATCTTTTCGATGAATCTTCAAACAAGAAAACGTATGGCGGAAAAAAAAATTAAAAAGAAGATGAGATCTCGTTGTGAGCAACGAATTGGGTCTTTCGTCCGTTTCTTGAGAAAATGAGATAAGATTTTAATTAAGATTTTCTGGATAAGAAATAAATAATCTGCCGAGACCAGCGCTCACCTCCTATAAATTAGAGGGGTTTTTTTTGCTTGCCAGACATTTTTTTCAGTGAAGAGTAAAATAAATAATCTGTCTTTCATCTTATTGGAAATAAATATTATTTAAAAAAAATGACTTGGGAAAACATGCCAACCACCCCTCTCCTTCAGAATAAAATGGTGGTCCCCTTACATGTACCTGTTTTGAATCAATAATCTCCTTTTTATTTCCTTTAATATTGAAAAACAAACTAACACTATGTACATGCTTGAAATAATATCTTGATAGAGATTGACACCCACCACACAAAACATATGCAAGTTGAGATTTCCAAATCTTAATAGCCTTTTCAATACCTATACAGTATAAGTAAATGTATAAGAAAAAGTCAAAGCATAATTTATTGATCAAGAAAATTTATTTCATAAACAGCTTTTCAAATTCATGGGTAGGCTTTATAAGGAATACTGAGCAAGTGCAAATTATTTCCATCACTTCATATTCTTGTGGATGAAATCAATTCTGAAAATACATGTACAAGAAAATCAGGATATACATGTAGACATACCATTATTGAGAGTAAACTGGTGTTTAAAATTAAATTAAATTCAAAACAATGTATTGAAACATGGAGCAGTGAATGCATAATTAATTGAAAAATAAATTAAATGCAATTCTACTGTTATATTTTATGATTTTGCCAGAAATATTGCTTGGTTTATAATAGCTAATATGGAGCATACCATTTTCCTTAAATGATGGATTAACTTGCTGCCTGAATGAATCCATAGATTCAATTCTTTGGGAATAGCTGCAACATATTATAATGCTATGAGATTACTAAATGAAATATATTGTAGAATAAAATGACATTACACGAACAAAACAAATCATGATATACAAGATATTTAAAAATGGAAACAAAGTTGTGTTACAATACTTTTCTGGGAAATTAAAACCTCTGACATTTACTAGACAAATAATTAGTATATGAAAAAAAATATTCTTTCATCTTTACCAAAATGAAAAATAAATATAATCAAACCTGTATGCTTAAAAAATGTGAAATGCTTTAGAAGTATACATACCCTGTGGAGAAATGGAAGGGATTTTTATTTATTCATCCTCAAGCCTGGAACTCTTGACAGCTACAGTCACGTGCAAAAAGTATTCGGTAAAAAATGGAGGCGTGTTTACACTTACCAAGGTATATTAAAAAAGAAAATGACCTTGCCCTCTTTTTATCACATCACAGGAAATAGATTTGTATAAATTTAGAAAAAATTGTCACATGATAAATCACGTGACAATATTTTCGTCTGCTGTTTACAAATTTAGAGCAAATATAGCAAGAGTAAAAAAGATGGGTCGGAAAGGAAAAGAAATGGGGTCAGATGTGAAAAACATCATCGTGGAGTTAATGCAGAAAGGTTATTCTCGGAGAAAGTTAAGTGAAAATGTTACAGTTACCTAAATCAACTGTTATAGACGTTTGTCGAAAATTTTCTGACACGGGATCGGTTGAAAACAAACCCAGAAGCGGCCGACCTCCAAAAATTGGGCCCCGTGACTATCGGAAGTTAGAGAGGATTGTGAAAACAAATCGTAGATGTTCACTTTCTGATATAACGGCAAAATTTAACGAGGAAAGACCAGAACCAGTAAGTAAAAGGACAGCATAATTTGCGCAAACATAACTACAGGAGAAGTGTTTCTAAGAAGAAATTAAACTGGTTATTAAAGAAGTGAATCGTAAGAAGCGGCTTGCTTGGTGTCGGGGGAAAAGACGATGGTCAGTAGAGGACTGGAAGCGTGTGATTTTTTTCAGATGAGAGTAAAATTATAATGGGTCATGATGAAAGGATTAGGATTTGGAGAAAAAAGGACGATGGATGGAGGCCGGACCTTGTTCAGCAGAGGACTTCTCAAGCGAAATACGAAGTTATGATATGGGAGTGCATCTGCAGGTAGGGTGTTGGAACTATGACGCCAGTAGAAGGAAATATCAATGCTGCTAAATACCAAAATATATTAGAGGAAAACCTATGGCCTGTTCTCGCAAGACATTTCCCTCAAAATGGCTATTATTTTCAGGATGACAACGCACCCGTCCACCGAGCCAGGTCTCTTGTGTATGTAGCTATAAATCGAATTAACTGTTTAAGCTGGCCTGCTCAGTCACCAGACTTGAATATAATAGAGAATGTTTGGTTAAACATAAAAAGAAAACTTCAGTCACGCACTGCTGCAATAAAATCGAGAGACAATTTGATCGAGGAAATTCGGCGCATATGGACAAGTATCACGCCTGCTTACATTAAAAGCTTGTATGGCTCCATTCCAAAGCGGATTCTAAATGTAATCAGACTCAAAGGACACCTTACGAAGTATTAAATTTTAAGTAATTGATTTTTTTAATTTTCAAAGCATTTTCGTTGAATTTTAGCTTGTAGATTTTTTCATACTACCGTTGTCAGTGTTAACACGCCGCCATTTTTGACCGAATACTTTTTGCACGTGTCTGTAGCTACAATAGTACAATTTTTATATATCATATAATTAAAACAAAAATAATGTATAAATTACAGAATTTCATTGACTTGACATGTAATCAAACTAAAAAAATATTTTATTTCCCCCATTAATTTAGAAATTCTATAAATTTACAAACATAGATTTAAACTGTAGGTTTTGTTTTCAACATAATGATACAGACAATATTTAAAAAATATATTATGTAGCATGTCTGTATAGTGTTAGAAAGAAAACAACATAACATGTTTAGTAAATCATTGTCAACTCATTTACTGAAACAATGAAATTACAAATTTAATTTAGTGTAAATCTGTATTACTGTTGTCACAGTTGATCCCCATTACTACACATAATATCTCAAAGAATATAAGCGAATTGACAAGAACTCTGTACCATATATTTATGGTACAATTATACATTAAAAAAAATTCTAATATAAAAAGTGTGAAACCAAGGCCGGAACTACCATTGAGGCAAGTGAGGCAAATGTCTCACTTAATTTTTAGAGTTTTTTGAAAAGTGAAAAAGTTTTACGTGGTACTTATGTGTGTCTTCGTGCTAAAATAATATTTTTCAACTTTTATTTCCATTTCTGTCAATCCTTTATCTCAATAGGTGCTTCATTTTCATTAAGAGCGCATGTAAAATTTAATTTAAAATGTTCATTTTGTAAATTGTTTAATAATTTAACACCCCTTTTAAGAATTTCTCATTCATATTGAAACACTTGCCGATGGAGGGCTGCAAGTTTTACATCTGTACTGGGGATTCAGGATCACTGAAGACGAATGAACAGTCAGAGGTCTTTTTTGTGCCATTACTTACTGTGACATAGGATCTCGGTTTTTTTTTACGGTCTCATCCGAAAAACTTTGCTCTACATCCCGCAGTGGGATTCGAACCCGTGATGTAAGGATCAATTCCTTAGTCTGCGACTTTTGAGCATACGCTCTAACCACTGCGCATTGCGGGCGACGATTCAAAACGTAAAAACTTTTTAAAATTATTTTTTTTTTATTTTCTAATACCCAGGTTTCAGGACCAACCTCCCCTTGGAAACATCAATCACTGGTCATGAGAGTCTGAGAGTAGGAATGCCCAGCACCCTTGCCTCACTAAAAATTTGAGCCTAGTTACGGCCTTCGCAACTTTGTATGTGTCTGTTGGGACTGTGTGGGGGGAGGGGGGGGGGATAATATACACACAATAGCAATACACTGCAATAGGTTTTCACTGACTGTGATAATACATGTAAATGATCATGTACACACTCGCTATCGTTTTTTTCTATGATGTAAACACAAGAATATCTAGATATTGTACATACATGCGCATACATACCTGGGCTAAATGTACTGCAGAGATGATTCTAGGGACCTGATGATGATCGTCTCAGTCTTTCATTATCTTCCGAAAAAATGTCCTCATATTCTCGTAATAGGGTTAAACAATCCCTTGTCTCTTATCTTATCCCTATTTTCTTTTAAGATTCCCCGGTTATTGCATTAAAATCAACTGCATATCTCAGCTGATGTCGCCAATTTTGTAGATGTAAACAACACTCCGTGTCATCGAGTGCAAGCGTTTGGCTGAAGCCGAATGCAGCCAAGCGGCACATAAAAAGTAAATTATTCTATAGATATGCTATTCTATATAAGAGAAAATTACTAATAATTATTTATTTAAACATGAAAATATTGACGTTTGCTACAAATTTTTGCAAATATCGGTAAATAGTTATTTTAAGCTCTATTTCCTTATAAGGATTAATCAGGGCGGAGCAACTGTCATGACGTCAGACCTCATTATGACCTCATTACCATATTTTTTTCATGTGTTGCCTTAACTGTACTGCGAGTACATGTTAATGATGCAAAGACATTAAGTATCAGCTAAAAGATAAAAGAGATGTAGGAAAAAGCTTAATTTATCATTTTTGTATTGTCCTTGACCTTTGCCCTTTGCATAAATTTTAAAGTCAGAGGTCAATGAATCGTATGCCTTTGGTTCAATTATTCTACGCTTTTCGTTTTGAAAATGTTTAATTATTTGTAGAATTCAAAAATATTCAGAGGTAATAACTCAATTAAAGGGTTTACGAATCCCTTTGCAATGAATAGATGAAGAGTCCTCTTAACTAGTCAAAAACTTTGGTGAATGTTTCATATCTCTACGGTTTACGGTTTAGGAGGAGTAGCGATAACAAGCATTTTTGCAAAAGGGGCAATAATTTCGGAAAGGGTCAAGGTTCATTTACGCAGGGTCATCTGCAAAAATCTTTTACGGAGTACATTCTTATGGACTATAAATCTCTTTCAAGAAATATCTTGAAACTCAAAATCACACGGCGGAAAAATAAAAAAAAATAATAAGAAACAGAAAAAAAATATCAATAGGTCTTTCCACAGAAAGGTGAAAAGACCTAATAAACATATGCATTTCAAGAGGTCTTTCCATGGAAAGGTGGAAAGACCTTATGAAAAACATAAGCATTTCAAGAGGTCTTACCACAAAAAGGTGGAAAGACCTATTAATAACTAGTAGAATAATTGTTCTCGAACAATTACAGGTCTTTCCACCTTCTTTGAATTTCATTTTTAATTAATATTTTTCTATTTAAACTCTAATTTCATGAAAAAGAAACCAGAAATGGTTTAAAATATGACAAAAATGACCTTGACCTATGACCTTAAAATAATATTGACGTAATGGTAATGCACGTCTTTGCCTTAGACACTCTTCTATTTTATGTATTAGTTAACAAAAGTTTACGTTTTTTCAAGGGATTTAGTAATTTATCCAACTTGAATTTCTTTAACTTAACTTACCCAGAAACAACTTGATTGCTTAATTTACATACTAACGATTGCATATATTTTTAATACTCAACTTTATATGATACTTTCTCAATATAACAAGCATGAACCTTTCCAAATCATTGAACATATGTGATACATATATCCTTATGGAAATTATAGCCATATTGAAAAAATCCATTCTCAAACACTAGTTGATGAAGAAGAGGAACGTTCTGCATGTATATGTAATCTAAAATCCAGAAACTACGCAAGTAAAATAATGCATATGCTAGAATTAGACAAAGGAGTAATAACGTCATAGGAGTAGCAAAATCAGAACCAAGGCAATTACGAAAACTGGGAATTCGCCGACTCCAACCGGAGGTGTTTTCCATTTTATGCAAACCGATTTAAACGGAAAAGCCACAATTTATCAAAAGTATATTACCACTACCAGGTTCAGTTCCGAGACAGTACCTATTCAGAAACCTTTAAAGTTAAGCACTGAAGATAGCTCATTGTCATGAAAATACAAGGTAAGGTTATGCTAATATCCGTCCGTTGTCATTAAAAACATACAAAAATTTATACATAATGCCAAAAATAAAACGTTTTTGACCAATTTCGAGCTTAAATTTAATTATTTTGGGAACAGATACAACATTCAGTATTCCATAAAAAGATTAAGGTATTTGATATCCACAATACATTTTGAGAATGTTTGGTTAGCAATTACATGTCCATGAGTGAAGTCATGATCGTCAGCTTGATAATCAGATATTTCTTTAAATTTATTTAAATGGTCCGCTTATTTTTACA